TGCTTGTGAGATTGGGTGATTGTGGCATGTTGTATAGAGCGCTTTGAGTACTCCAGGAGAGTAGAAAAGCGAAAGCTATGTAAGAATCAGTCCATTTGTACAGTATAATGTGAGGCAACAGCAGCAGTTCATAACCTACCAAAATTATGCAACGCTTTCAAACTGTCGGTGGTCTAAGCAGCAGTCCTTTCTATCCACTTGTTCACTACACACTTTAACAACATTACAGTTCAATGTGTTTTTTCTTAATCTCATCAGTCCCATGTTTTCCTGTGCTGGCTTGAACACCTTTAGGCTTTCACGTCAGAGACTTTCTCACTGCTCTAATTCAACTCTGACTAAACTCAATGCTGCAAACTCAGTTTGTGATTACCAACACATGCATGTCACTTTGTTCCTCATGAATCAGTAGAAAATAAAATCCACTTTCACTGAAGCCTCAGTGTATTTCAGCATAGGCTTTACAGTTAGCCTTTGAATTAGCTGAAGCCAAGATGTCATCTTGAGATTTTCAGAGCCTTTTCCAGAGGAAAGACTATTATACTGAGTCATGCACCACCTCAGCAGTTATTGTCCCTCGATGGAATTCACTGAAGGTGTGTGTACTCATAACTGGATGCCACGGCTGACACTGCAGGACAACACACTTCTCTACTCCCATATCGATCATTCCAGCTGTTCATCCACAACATCACTGAATCCCAAATTCAGTTATTTCCATAATGATGCTTGCTCATAACTGCAAAGCGACACTAGCAGTATTGTTCTGAGAGATTAGCTGGTGAAGCGACAATTGCTTGGCACATAATAACCCTGGATACTATTGTTATGGTTTCTGCTAATGAAAATAGCTTGCACCTGCTGTGAGCTTCAGCTGTTGTGTCTTTCAAAGGAACAAGCTGAAAACTTTAAAAAATCCACATTCATGCTGACAGCGGTTTGGTGCACGATGCTTTAATAAACACTTTTAACATCAGTTTCCATGTTTTTTTTTAATGTTTTTGTTTTTTTCCTATCACCATTACGCGTTACTGTAATCTGATTACTTTTTTCAAGTAACGAGTAAAGTAAGGGATTACTATTGCAAAATCGGTAATTAGATTACCGTTACTTTCCCGTAGGAACGCTGCGTTACTGCGTTACTAAAACCGTGATTTTTTTTGCGAGAATGTCTCATGACAGTGACGTAAGCAAGTGCGACGTTGGTGACAGCAGCTGTGTGCAGATCAACAATGGATAATATATCGATTGTGGGAGAGAGTATGAGCGTGCAGCGTTTAAAGCATGGAAGTACTGACCTTACTTTGAGTTTGATTCCATAAAAAGTGACAAAAACATTAGCGTCCATCGTGCGTGGGAAGAAAACTTCTTTTTACAGCGAAAAAAACCCCTAAACTTCCGAGCAAGCACCGAGTAGCTACGACGTGATGGGAAACTCACAGAGACACTCGCGCGGATTCTTCAACTGACCGCAGCACACCTACACCAGGGTAACCCTCCGCCTACCCTGCTCCTGCTTTACAGGTGAAAATAGAGCAAAAGGACCGCTGAGTCTTTGACTTTATTTATTTTCTGCTGTGTTTTACTTGCATCTGTTTGAAAGAGTGAGTGAAAACACAAAAAATATTTTATTTTATGTGCTGGAATGTGTAGAAAATAGGTTTAAATGTTAAACTAATTTATTCAAGTCAGAGAATGTTGCATATAATTAAATGTTTTGCTTGATGCATAAAGTTAAAAGATTAAAACTGATAAAACAAGTTAAAAAAAGAGACTTTTCCATTTGATTACATTTTGTATGATGGATTATGTAGAAAAAGTAGAATTGGGCTGAAAGATCTATCACTTTATCACCTCTTCAGGTTGTAAATCGTGTTTTTAAAAAGTAACTAAGTAACTAAGTAACTAAGTAATTAATTACTTTTGAAAATAAGTAATCAGTAAAGTAACGGGATTACTTTTTGGGGGGAGTAATCAGTAATTAGTTACTGATTACTTTTTTCAAGTAACTTGACCAACACTGCTGCTGATTGCCCAAAGGGCCGCTCATTATTGTTACATTCACTAAGTGCATTTTAGGGCATTTCTATTGTTTCTTTTAATGTCAGTCTGGTCTTTTCTTTTTTTTGCCACCCTTATTCCTAGCATATAAAAAATAGGACAGGAAAAAGCAAAGACTGTTGGTGGTGTGGCCACCAGGCTGCAGAGGGTATCTCATAAAGGGAAATGGGGAAGAGTAACCATCACTCACTGCACAAAATAGATTTCAAAGCCTTACTTATCATGCTGTCATTAAGAAGGTCCCAAGGAATTGCAGCATAAACTATATACATTTATGTGCATCTGTCCATTTATTTCATATGGTTTATAATGTTAGTTATAATTGTGGATACAACTGATCATCACACGACGATGATGCTGCACAAAATCATCACTTGAATTCCTTGCTGCGACGCTTTGAGCTTGGACATGAACACACCTAAGTATATGTACACTTCGTGTAGACAAAACATTTAGAGACTGGAGCTTGAAACACACTCCTGCATCTGTGAATTTGCATTATATGCCTATAAAATACAACAATAATGCTAATGACACAACATTTAAAAAAAGCTTACCAAAGTCAGTACATTCTAGGTTGGCAGCAGTCTCCAGGGTTAGGGTCGCTAAAGCTGCTAGCAAATGCTAGGTAACGCCTCAGCTAGTTAAAAATCACTGAACATGTTTGTGCTCTTTTGGACCATTTTAACGAGTTTATCCGGCAAATTATATGTCTTCTGTCACAAAAAGGTCTGTGACTTAAATTGTAATACTGTATGAATATGCTTCAGTCTATGTATGCAAGTTGCTAATCAAGATAAACCACATTAGCTGCTAACTAGCTGCTAGCACTACAGCCTCTCATCCAAATATGGCCATTGTTTACTTCCAAAGAAAAACAATGGTGACAGCCAAAATGCCAAACTTGAAGCTTCAAAGCAGTAGTCCACAAAAGAGTATGTGCTCTTGTTGTGATTGGGTCCAAATTTTATATAGAGTGTTTGACTTTAGGTAACATTTAAATAGTGATAATATTATCAGTGTGAAATATTGTACTTTTTGTTTACTAAATTTAGCCTATTCAATATCTACAGTTACTAAAGCCCCATCTTTGCAAGATAGACCAGTAAACATTTGTGAGTTACTTTAGCCCAAAGTACAAAGATCCTAAGCTTGTATTTTCACAAAAACACATATGCTTTCAGCAAGGCAAATATTTGGACTATAAATATTCATTTGTGATATTTCTTTGGGGAAAATAGTGGGTTTATGATGTGTGTACACTTACATGTAATACACAGTAATGTTCTTTTTTTTTTTTAAAGCAATTTCACTCGAAGCAGGAGAGCATAGATTGAGCAGAGATACACCATCAGCTAATTGGCTATCCATTAGTCCTACTCCCTCAGGGAATCTACTTCCTCTGTTGCGGTTTAATTAACAGATTTGGACTGGATCCAGTCACCTCCACACCGCTGCCCGCCTCCACACTTTTTATTACAAAGCTGACAAGTGCTCACAGATTGCACAGAGTGTGATCAATAATCTTACAAGCATGTCATGTGGATCAAAGATCTGCAAATGCAAACATGGTCACAGAATGGTTTTGGTTGTATTTTAGTTTTTCCGAACGACACATATGGATGGACTTATCTATGGATAGATAAACACGCAGGGAGGTGTTCGTGTGCACACATGAGTCATTTGGCCCTAAGGCAGTGACTGAAGTTAAAAAACACAGGAGACTCTGCAGCACCCACAGTGTCACACTGCTTGTGCAGGGTAGATTTTTGGGAAGGTATACAGGAATTTGTGGGGGGGTGCATTAATGCTTACATGCATTGCCACAGTTCTGCTAAAACCAATATCAGCAACACTTTTATCCTCTTCCTACACAGAGTGCAGGACACATGCAGTTTATGAAAAAAAAAACGCACCACAGGTGAACAGACGAGAATGAAAAGCTTTAAAAGCTAAAGAGTGGTGACCAATTAAATTAAAAGCTCTGTTTCCTCGGACAGTGAAAGAAAGAGAAAACAAAGGGTCACGTAGAGGTTAATTATTTTTTTTACCTGTTTCACAGCAGTCCATTAATTCAAGCAGCAGGGCTTCAATAACAGTGTTCTAAACCTTATCAGTGATAGTGGAGCAGATTTCATATTCCTTCCTCTTCTTTCCTCTTTCTTTTATTTCCTCTCTACCCTGTTGTTGTTTTCCCCTCATCTCTTCTTCTATCTCCTACACTGCATGTCACCCTTCTTCATCTCACTTGGTTTCTCCTCATCTCTTCTCTCGTGACTCCTATTCCTCTTAATTCTGCATTTTTTGTTTTTAGTTTGAGTTCAATTTCTATTCCAGTCCCCTTTTTGTATGTGTGACCCTTTAGAGCAAATCAAGGCCTCCACTTCCACCTGTATCGTTTTTAAAAGCCACATACACAAAAATCCTCATTTTTACAGTAATTCCAGGAGTTCTGTATCAGCAGCAGACAGATGAGCACCGTGACTGATAATGTTTTTGGCTTGCTGCACCTCCAGAGACACGGCGCGAAATGTATCTCACATTAATAAAGAGTATTAGAGATTAAAATAAATCCCACCAATACACAGCAACAACTAGGACAAAACAGAAAGACACGAGCAACACACAAAGCACAGACTGCTGAAGTGAACCTAAACACGACACCAGCCAGCTTCACCTGATGTATTTACATGTAAGCACGAGTTTATGGCTGTGTGCTGTCCGCTATCACAGGTGAATTCTGCAAATAAAAATGTATCCAGCTGACGGCAATGGCTGCTGTTGTTTGGACGAGCCATCAAGTTTATGTTACTAAGTAAGACAAACTTAACGACGCTTCATTTTCACAGGCTTGTGTTAGCGGCAGTGTGGATTAAAAAGGCTGTCCTGCACACTCTAAACAGAGACTAAAGACATGACGAAGGGAAAAAAATACTTACAACTATCCGCTCACTGTGTTTCACCGGTCTGCACTTCAGCTGAGAACAGACTCACTCGGAGCCGTGAACAGCGGAGACTGTCTCAGAGCTCTGAGAGCTGAGGGGGTTTGTAAGAACAGCCTCCACCTACAATACCCACGCGCGCACACACGCGCCCGTGTTTCTTTTTTTTCTTTCTCTCTGTTTTTTGTTGGAATTTCGAGGACCCTGCAGACACGACGTATTAGCAACTCTCTTAACCAATAGAAACCACAACCCTAGTTCTAGAAACAGTTTTAGATGTTTTATATATACATTATATTATAATGGTTATGCTCGGCTTAATCACATCCTGTATTATCCCCTCTCGTAGCTGAGCGCAAATGTTGTGGAAATCTGAAATAAATCAGGTTTTCTCTGCGACTTTAATTTGACTTTGCATTGGTTCAAATTACCAGCAGGTCCATGTGCTTTTTTACAAAGCACCTCCAATATTTACACATCACTGCCACGATCACACAATACGGTCAGAACACTGTGTGCGAAAGATAACTGATGCATGAGCGTGTGGTATACCTGAGAGATTATTCTTTGCCCTCATAACAATAAATAAAATCTGTTTATTTATTCAAATTATTAGGAAGATATGCTCATAATAAATTGAATACATACCAATCAAGTACATTTCTTTTGGCCAGATTCCATTAAACTTTTTTCATGGACTTAAAAAAACAAAGACACAGAAAGTTGACATGTAATTAAATTAAAATCAGCATTTTGAGCATAAATATTTTCTGAGTGCATGAAGACAGAATGACAAAACATGGAGCCTTTCACTGAGTCAGGTCAGCTTCACACAGTCTTAAAATTTCCCATTACACTAATCAGTTGTTAATACCTTTGCGGGGAGTGCACAAATGAACAAACAGCTAAGCACCTGAATCTCTGGAGCCATTACTCATAGCAGCAGCATTGGAAAACCATCACTTTATGCTTTTTAAACAAGTGCCATTAACATAGGTTCATTTTTTACTTTTTGTGCACTTAAATTTGAGTCCTCAAGACAAATTGGCGGTAAGAAGTACTGTATAACAAAGTACAGGGATAGTGCAATCACAGTGTCACATATTTTACACAAAGCAATTTTAAAATGCTGTGTTTGTTTAGACATTTAATTCTGATTCAGAAATGCAAACAAAGTGTTCAAAAATAGAGATTCATACGAACATAGCAGGCACTTTGCTTTGCTCTCTCGTCTTTCTGCCTCTGTGAATAGCTGTAAGTAAAAATGGAGGGGCCATTGACTAACAGTCCATGTTCAGACCAGACTTTTTAACTGAACGAGGCAGTCACTTTACGACCGTCAGCCAGTGCATTTCACCTTCCTCCTTAGCAATAACTAAGGCAAAAATGCAGTTCAACCCAAGGCATAGTGAAAATGGGCTTCATGAACATGGCTGAAGCAAATGTCATGTTCACAGTGTGAGATATGCTGAGTGGTGCATAAGTAGTTTGGGTCTCCTTAGAGAGTACTCTGAAGGTGTGCCTGCATGTGTGTGTTCTTCTATTGTCTGTCATTCCAGCACACAGTTCCAACATTGTTACTTTTCAAGCACCTACACCTGTGCGGCAGACTCACACCCAAGCTCCTGCAGTGGGAACTCTAACCTTTAGTACGTGTGTCCCCACTCAGCCAGGTGAGATATAGCAGAACAATTCAGAGTCTGACAGTAAGGGTGAAGACGAGCCTGACTGTTGGTCTGCTCCAAACAAGCCCATAAGCAAGCTTTGAAATATTATGTCATAAAATTGTGAAACTGGGACATGAAATTTGATTTGAAAATGAAATTCATCCTGATCAGGAGCTGTTATGATCTAAATGGTGTTCTAGATCCAGTAAGCAAACAGGAAGAGCTGCAATGTGTGTGCTTTTTCAAACTAATACAAAGCTATAGTGCAGACTACAGCGCCATCCAGTTGGTGTTCGCTCTCTCTGCGGTAGAGTATCACTTCCTGTTCCAACACATAGTGGTGTTTTTGTGTAGCTTATATGCGTAGCAGTTTAATTATAACCTTATAGATAACGTCCTATTTCACAGGGTTAGGGTTAATCGTCCTGCTTGAAAATGACGTGCTCAAAGTGAATTGACTATTTCGCTTTGGACGTCTGCTTTCAGCACCTGACGGCATGTCCTGGTGAATGAGCCGCGCTTTGTGTTTACATCTTTTTGCGGATTCTGTTTACACATTCAAAATAAAGAGAGAGAAGTTTGTTTGTTTTTTGTTTCTTTAACTTTCATCAAAGTCAGAAGTATGCATACACTTCCTTATTATTTGGTAAAATTGCCCCAAAACTGTTTCACTTGGGCCACACGCTTCAGGTGTCCTTCCACAAGCTTTCTGCAACAGTTTGCTGGAATCTTGGCCCACTGCTCTTGACAGAACTGGTGTAACTGGGTCAGGTTTGTAGGTCTCCTTCCTGAGTGGTATGATGGTTGTACGTTCCTGTACTTTTTATTCTCTCGTATTATTGTCTGAATGGATGAATGTGGGACCTTCAGGCATCTGAAAATTGCACCTAAAGATGAGCCACACTTGTGGAGTCTACAATTCATTTCCTGATGTCTTGGTTGATTTTCCTATGATGTCAAAGAAAGAGGCTCTGTGTTTGGGGGTGTGGTTTTACATGCATCCACAAGTGTGCCACAAATGAACTCAAATGGACTTAATTAACCGATCGAATCATCTTAAGCTCAAAATAGAAAATATCTGGAGTTTAGCTTTTGTTTAAAGACACTTGCTTTTACTTTACTTGAGAGATACTGACCTCAACAAACAGCTTGGGTTCTTCAACTGTATCTTATGGACACTTAGGTGAAGAACAGAGCTGAGCTATGAACTGATGGTCACCTGATGGTGAGTTGGGTCAGGTGGTGGGGGAGGATGCTGGACACCCTTTAACTGCCAGTTTGACAGCATTCTGAGGGAGGCTTTGGACACATTCAAAATCCTGCTCCTCACATACAAGGCCTTAAATAATCAGGCCCCATCTTAACTTAATGACCTTGTAGTACCATCACCCTATTAGAGCACTTCACTCTCACACTGCAGGCTTACTTGTTGTTCCTAGAGTATTCAAAAGTAGAATAGAGAGACAGCCTTCAATTTTCAGGCCCCTCTTCTGTGGAACCAGCTTCCTGTTTGGACAGACACTATCTCTACTTTTAAGATTAGGCTTAAAACTTTCCAAAATATATAATTAGGGCTGGACCAGGTGACCCTGAATCCTCCCTTAGTTATGCTGCAATGCGGTGGGCTGCTGGGGGATTCCCATGATGCACTGAGTATTTCTTCTTCAGTCACCTTTCTCACTCACTATGTGTTAACAGACCTCTCTGCACTGTATCATACTTGTTATTAATCTGTCTCTCTTCCACAGCATGTCTTTATCCTGTCTTCCTTCTCTCACCCCAACCGGTCGCAGCAGATGGCCCCGCCCCTCCCTGAGCCTGGTTCTCCTGGAGGTTTCTTCCTGTTAAAAAGGAGTTTTTCCTTCCCACTGTCGCCAAAGTGTTTGCTCACAGGGAGTCATGTGGTTATTGGGTTTTTCTCTGTATGTATTATTGCAGGGTCTACCTTACAATACAAAGCACCTTGAGACGACTGTTGTTGTGATTTGTTTTCTGTATAAATAAAAATGAAATTGAAATAATATAATAATATAGTTTAATAAGATTACAGTCACATGGAGACATAGGGCACTATTAATTCCTTTAGTACGTTTTCATGACAATATAGTCATATTTTTAGTTTATGTGCAGAGAACAGAGACAGTTTGCTGAAGTACAGATGATGGTGTTGGGCCATCACCAGAAGAGCTTCACTTCATTTGGCTGTGATTGGTCCAACTATCAGGAACTGTAATTATATGATGAAACAAAATTCTTTCACGCTGGCCTGAGATCTGACATCTGTGAAGACTATATCATATAAATAAATCCTTTTACGAGTCCACAAGAAACACCACAAATCACAGGGCAGTCTGTGATCTTTCAGGACAGAGACATCAACAACAGTGACAGGACCCTCAGCGTCTTTCTACTGAAGCTGTCAGGCCCTGCTCAAATTTGAGCCACAAGCCTTTGGATGAAATTTAATTCAGGTCTTGACCAAAATACATTTATGGTCAGTTCATACTGTAGATCTTCTATAATAAATCGACGGTTTACACAATACTCAAAGTTTCATTTCTCAGCTTCATTTCCCTCCCAGCACTTTATGAAAGGCAAAAGCAAAAACTGCTGATGAGTAACTTTGCATCAATGTGTGGAGTATTGCAGCTTTTCATGCAGCATGATAAGGCTTCATCATGACACTGGTGACTATACAATGGTCACCATTCAGACAGAAAGGCAGTTGTTAGAGGGTGAATGGCAGGAACACTGTGTCTGCTGCCTCTTCTCTTGCCTCTGTGTATCAGTGAGTATTCAACAACAGTTTCTATATTTAACTGCTGGTTCTTACTGCATAATTCTGTCTGTATAATATAAAAATGATTCAATGCATCGAGTTATGCCAAACCTCACAGAAACTGTGCACGGTGGGTATTCTGAATTGCTGCTCGGCACATATATGCAGACCACAGTCAGAGCCTTACCCTCTGCTGCTTGAAGTCACACAGAGGTAACCCACTCGCTCTCTGTCAGCACGCAGTCGCAGACTCGTGAGTAAGGTTGTTTTTTTCTCTTGTTTTGCTCTACTCTTAAGAGCTCCATTAGCCACACAGAGGGCACAATATGTTCTGTATTGCTTCTCAAAGTTAGCATTGGTTAGTGATCATGAGCTGTTTTAGGTTTATAAATCATTGGTTTACACCACATTCCTCTGAATTAATGTCACAAATTGACAAACTGACAGTGAGATACAGTGAAGTGTGTAGAACATGTAATTCAAATCAGAGCACGAGCAGAACAAGAGCATGAAGCTGAGATCAAACTTCATTTGCTTCCATCTATAAGGTGCAGGTCACTGAGGTCTTCTGACAGAAACCTGCTGGTGGTTCCTCGTTCTAGGCTGAAAACCAAAAGAGACTAA